ATTCTTGTATCAGGAGTTTTATTAGTTTTTCTATTATCCTTATTTGTTTGATTTACATGTGAATGGGTGCAGGTCTTTTTCTTCTTGTTTACCACAGATTATGCACATTGATGATTTATAAATTCATGGTTTATGTTTGTTCATATTTGTCAATGTGGGGTGTTTATTGAACCACATCTTCCATCTAAAGGTTCTATCCCTGTGGTCATCTTGGCTTATCTGGAGAGATGTGATTTTGGAGGGCATCAGGGCCTGCATGGTTAGTGCCCAGTTTATTTCTTTGGTTTTCTATCCTATTAGCCATATTTGGTTTCGTTGTAGTGTTTTCCACTTACTGACCTATTTGGTCTTTAAAAGGGTCTTTCCAATTGTTATAAAAGATAAGTCCACAAACAACTGGTCCCATATCAATGTTGTGTTACAGCTTGTGGACTGGAGTTCTTGTATCTTTATGATGTCTTTGAAGTTATCTGTGAGTGTAGTGGCTGCTAGTTTGTTTGCTTGTTCATTCCCTTTGTCTCCTAAATGATCTTTTATCTTTGTCCATTGGACTTTGGTTTGCTGTACTATGATAATTTCTTGAATTGTGTTGATTAACAACCTGTTCAAACTTCTTAATTTTTGTTTCTTGGTCAGGTTCTTGTATAAACTTTTCCTTATTGTGTTGATGACACATTAATTGTCTGTGAGAATGTTAATTCTTTTGTTAGAACTGACTGTGCTAATTGTTATAAGTATTACTATCCATTCTGTCCTAGTGAAGGATGGTGTGTCCTGTGTTTCTAACTGAAAGTGTTATTATTTCCTAACCTAACTGTGTTTTGGCTACCTATCTGATTTCTATCCTGCTTCTAGTTGAATGTCTTGTAAAGGAACCATCTGTATAGAACTGAATATTATTTTTTGTTACCAGTGTTCTTGTGATTTGTTACAGCTTCTGAATTGTTCTGGTTGGGGCTTTTAACTTTCTTTCTATGAGGGTTTCAGTAATTAATAAGAAGTCCAGGTATATTTTGGGTGTATGTGTATATGAAACCTTTCTGCTGGTTTCCCTTATCATAAGTTTTATTCCTTGGGGAGATGATTGTAGTCTATTGAGTGAAGGTTGCCTGGTATTTGTGAACTGTTGTTCTGATAACATTATTATACTTATTTTATATGTTTTTTTAAATATATAAAGTATAAATTTAATATTGAGATTATTATTTGTTTTTAATAAATATATAGTAAGTTATATTTTATATAAATAAAAATATTAATTCTTTTTTCGCTGATTCTCTAACCATATATAAAAAAGATGTTTACAAGAAATTTTATATTTCTTGACTAATAAAGTTTTATAACTTTCCTTAAACCAACTTGAAGAAACATTCCAAGAATCATATTTATTTCCTTCCTTTCTCTTGTAAACAATCTTTTTCAAATAAAAATCTACTTTCAATAATAAAAGTCATAAATATATTTTTTCTACCAATGGCAAGAAAGTTCTGAAAAAAAAAACTATAGTGTTGCTACCTATTTACTTGCTAGAGAAACAATACAGAGCTTTTCTGGTAATAAAGAACTTATTTTGAAGGCAATCACTCATTTTTTTGTTATGTACTGGCTCTAAGAGTGCTCTTTCTTGATTTTTTTAGGAAATTTTGTTTGTATCAGTTTGATCCTGAATTTTGAGTAGCACAAAATTTCTAAAGCAGTAATTGACTAGCAAAAAACACATTAGTAAAAAAATATAAACAAGCTTCCATTGGTTACTCTATGTGTCTGAATGCATTTCATTAGTATTTATAAGAACCTGGGGTTCACCATAAGTCATATATTGTGATGTGAGTGAATACAGGACATGAATATCTATGATATTATCAGCTATACAAAAAAAACAGAGCTGGATTAGAACACATTGGATAGAAAATATTGGTTCTTAACTTCTTCTCTCCTACTTTAGTGAACTCAAATAAAAAGAAAATGATCATATAGGATAGGATCCTTTTAGCAGAGTTTTGCATATCTATCACTTTTTTTCTGGAAACATATCTATTGTCCTATAAAACTTCAAAGTATCTCTTTAGAAACAATATTAGTTAACTCTTTTTTATAAAATTTTTGATAAAGCACTAATAGAAGTTAAGGCTCTATATGAGGGATCCTTAACATCAGTGATGGTGAGTACTTTAGGTAAATTTTTGACATATTAGCTTTTTCTTTTTAGGGATAACAATAAGCTGCTTGGTGGATTAAGGTTTGAGTCATTGATAGAGTTTTAGTAAGATTTGAGATTCTAGAGAGTACTTAAGTATAGAATAGAAAAGTAATATAATCTATGTATCATTTTTATTATTATTTTAATATTTTGATTTTATAAGTAGTTAATTTATATTAGAAGGTCATATAATTATTTTATTCTGGTTATGTGAAATATAAATAATTGACTTCTTATACTATTTGTTGATCTGTAAATTCTTAAACAGTACAAGTAATTATTTATCTCAATTATTTCTAGATTCTTTACTTACACTAATAAAATATACTGCACATAGGTACAAGAATAAGTTAGTGTTTTAAAATATATATATATATATGTATATATATAGTAAGTTATATTTTATTATATTATAATTTTTATTTGCAGTAGTGACCTGCAGGCAATGATATTAAGAGTTGGAAGGGTTTTCACCTAAATTTCTAATGAATGATAAATCACTTTCAAAGTTGTACTTAGAGTAATAATTACAAAGACGAGTGAGCTAATTAGCATTTTTTAGCTTTAGTGATTCAAGTTATATGTATAGTTTACAAATGTTTAATAAAGCACACATAACTAACCTGACAGAGAATTAAAAAAAAATTTTATTATATTATAATTTTTTATATTATTTTTAAATATTTCAATTTTTATTTTTATTTATTTATAAATATATATTATTATTATTTAATTATTTACTATTAATTCACTTTATATATATATAATAATTTATATTGGTTAATATTTAATTTTTGATAATATGTTAATATTTATATAATTTACAATATACTGTATACTATATTATTTAACAATTTATGAATTTTAAATAATATAAAAATAACTTAATAATTATATTAAATTGTTATACAAATCACTTTAATATTGGTTTTTGAATTTTATAAGAGTAACCTAATATGTTTTTAAATTAACAAGAGGTATTATTTTCATCATACAATGAATATTTCGAAAACCTATTGATAATCTTTTTTTTTTTTTTTTTTTTAATCCGCCATCTGACTGGATAGGTTACTTCGTTAGACTCTTGACTTCTATTATCGAAATTAGTAATAAATTGGAAAAAATTATAGTATTATATTTTGAAAAAAATTTTTTTTATGAAGCCAGTACAAATATACTGTAAAAGTGCATTTTAAGGACTACTGATGTGAATATTGCAAACTTCTAATTTAAAATAAAATGAAAAAGACGTAATGCAATGATCTTTGATACCAAATTATATCCATAATGATGAAATTCAGTTTAAATTTTATGCATAATTTTAATCTCTATTAATTAGACCATTGAATTTAAACTAGAGTTTCAAGTTCGCAATTAAATTTAAATTTGCGTTTCGGGCTTTGGATTGATCAATACTATTATAGGCTAGGATAAAAATATTCAGACCTATACGGAATTCTACCGCTAGCGATAGACGAGACTAAAGCATAATGCGCAATTGTATTGTTCAACGAACCCACTAGTAGCATAGTTTCAAGCGGAGATTAAAATAAACAATTAATGCCGGATTCGGAAACGTGATTCAAACAATACGCAGCTATCCCATGTATTACATGCATAAAATGAATGGACACTTCGGATTAAATACTCCTTGTAATAAAACAAAAAAACCGGTACATTAAATTGTTCGTGATCCGGAATTCCGAAGAATACAAGGTACTTCTTTGCTAACAACAATGAAACCACGAATATATGATAATGAACGGAATTTTTGGTGTATTATAAACTCTGCCACAATTTTCCATCTGAAAACCTCCTCGATACAATTATACATATATCAATATATTTGTATGTAGAGAATATGAGCATAATGTTTGTCAAGCTGTCGAAATATACAGTATTTCGTTTCGATTTACAGAGCAAGAGATTTTTAAATTTTAGGTTCTCTTACACGATTTAAATATTTATTGATAAGTAAAGAAGAGAGTTTTAGTAAATGACTTAGTATGTATTTATTTATTATTTCTAAATAAATAAATAACAATGCATTTATTGCATCTCATAGTCTTTATAATGCTTTCCAAAAATAAAGAAATGACATTATGCAGATCAAATGAAACCCACATGGGTATCAATTTCATTGGTTTTCGTTACACGTTATTCAATTTATGGCAACACATTCAATATGTTCAACGGTTCATCGAAATTATGTGGTATTCGATTTTTTTTTTCTTACACTTTCCCTCATTACGTAAGCCCAGCAAGATACGGAGATTCATTTGACTTTGTGTCATATGGAATCATTTCTCAATTTGTTTTGTTCAAAAATGAGATGTGAAACACGTACTAAAAGATCCACAGCAAGGGAAACCCAAGTCATGCTTTTTTTAGATAATGATTATAATAGTAGGTTCTGGAGGCACGTATAGTTTAAAGTATTTCCTGTTTAACTTATGTATCCATAACCATATTCGGATTACTATTAAATTTCATTGAAGACCGCGGAAAATATTTTAAAGTATAAAATTCTTTGTTCGCGTAACTCGCCAAGTTCCGCATAAATGCACCACTCCACCGTAGTACTTTTGTCTCAATCCTTCCGTACTCCGTGTCATTATAAATAAAAGGGTTTGATTTATTAATGGTCATCGATTATCTTGATTTTCTACTTACCACTGTGATTATTCTTTATTACTCTGCAAGATACTGTATATTCGATATTCGTATTAATCACATAATCGAAAGCAGTTCTTGGACTTGACTTATTCTTTTTATCTGCTTATTGGCAAAGATTTTTATCATGTCTGATACTTCAAGTCTGGATTGCAAAACATGTACATTAATAGACAGAACAAATTTGCAGAAAGTTAAAGTTATACGTTTTAAAGTCGCAAGCACTGACACTCCAAATTCTATTATTGAAGCGATCTCAACATATTTCGGATATCAGGCCTTCGATCTATACGAAGGTGACTCTCTATGTGTAAAATCATATTCTTCGTTTACTCACGAGGGGTGGCATGAAGTTCGACCAGCTGGTTCCTTTCCACAAGAACCTCTCAGTAAGTTCGTTGAAGAGATGTCTCTCGAACGAGGGAAAAGCGATGTTATAAATGTTAACAGAAGTCACGAAATCGCGGATCATCAAAACATGAGTAGGGAACGACGACCGGCTAAGGTTTTAAAACACTCAAATTCTTTTGTCATGAGCATAATTTTTGAAAAAAAAAATTTTTTTTAATCCTTTTTTTTTTGTCTTTTAAATAAAAAATAGCGATCATTCGATAAACATGGTCATCCGGGAATCCTTAAAAGATCCTGCAGGAAAAAAAGACAACAATTGGCATGTAATGCGTGTCGAAAGGCCAAGAAAAAATGTGTCAAACCCGCCGAGGGCCCATGTGATAAATGTCGTAAATTTGGAAAGGAATGTCAAATACCAATTCATAAGGAATCTTAGCTATGTGACTGCAAATCATTAAGAAATTTGTACGAGTACAATTCTATAAGGTTATAAGTTTATTTAATCTCATAATATTCATAACATACTTTTTAAAATTTTTATTTAATAAAAAACTTATATATTCCAATTTATCACTTATTAAACTACATTTATCAATAAACTGACTGATTTTTGTTTTTTTTTTTTTTTAAGAAAAAAATAATAAAATTAAAATATCTAAATTGTTAATTCTTATTAATATACAATATATAAAATAAAGTAAAATAATCATTAATTGAAATTGTAATAAAAAATTTAAGTTAAATCATTTTTATCAAATTAATTTATAATATATTGCTTATTTTTTTTTTTAATAATACAGTATATCACTTAATATATAAAATTTTTATTAATTAATTAATAAAATTTTATATATTAAAATAAAAGTTATAATTGTTTCCAAAAGTTTTAGTTTATTTAAAATATTTTTCCTATAAATTTCAATTTTATTAATTTTAAATTCTTGATTATATAATTAAAAATCATAAAATTTATATTCAATACATTATATCTTAATATTAATTTTATTTCTTATATTTTTTAAAAAAAATTTTTATCTATAATTTTTTAAGGTTTTATTATTGTTAACAAATTTCTTTCATTGTTAAATTTTTACTTTTATATAATTTTTATTGACCTTTACTATAAATTATATAATAATTAATAAAAAAATAAAAAATTTTAATAAAGATAAAAAACTTTAAAAATTATATACTTTTTTTTTTTTAAAAAAAAATACTAGCTTATCCTTGTGTCTTGATGCTACATACTTTATTTAAATAAGTAAAAAATTTAGAAACAACCAGAATAAATAATTACTTATACTAAAAAATTCTTCACACTGATCTCTTGATAACACATAAAAAGATATTTACAAAAAAATTTTATATTTTTTTACTAATAAAATCTTGTTACTTTCCTTAAAACAACTTTAAAAATAATTTTAAGAGTCTTTTTTAACTTCCTTCTCTTGTTTATATTGCTTTTTAGACAAAAACTTGACTTTTAGTAACCTAGAAAAGTTAAGAAACACTTTTTTTACCTATGACAAAAAAGTTTTAAAAAAAAGAAAAACTAATAATAAAGTACTAAAAACCTATTTCCTGAATCAAGAATGCAACCAGAGATTTTATACAGTGAATAAATAAGTAAATAAAAGCCTAAACCATAAAACTTTTCTTTCCACTATTTCTATCTTCTTAAAGCTACTTATTTTTCAAAGTTTTTAGAGAATTTGCTTACCTTAGCTTGATCTTGAATTTTGAAGTAATATAAAATTGATATAGCTTTTGCTAAAAATAATTAATCGACATGAAATACATTGGTAATAGAATGTAAACAAACTTCTACTGATTATATAATATATTCCGATGATATTATTGATTAAAGAAAGAGAAATCATTGATATGAACTCCTTCACTTCTTCAAATAAAGTATAATTGAAGTAAAAAAATTATGAAGCTATTAGGATGAGCATTAAATTTTCTAAGTAAGAAAAAAATAATTATTTGTTCAAGTCAAGGTCTTCAACTTTTTATTATTCTAGTTAGGCAAAATATGTGAAAGAGATAATAATATTGTAATCAATGAGAATTCTTAATACTAGTCTAACCCTTCCACTAGTACAAAGCAAAAAGATTATTGGGGAATCTGACTTTTTGAATAATAGAAGATAATTACCAGCAAAATTTTTTTAACTAGATATAGCTGCTAAAAGATATTGAGATTTACACAATATGATTGAAAAGTCATATAAGAACCTAGAGTCTATCATCAATTATTCTTTTATATATAGATAAATATAAAATCAAGGCTGAAAGAAAAAAAATACCAAACAAGACATTGAATCGAAGTAGGTAATAAGTATCTAGATGATTAAAGAAAATAATCAAGACTATAAATGAATAAGTTCCTTAAACAGTCAGAAAGAAAAAGGATAATCTAGAAGAGTTAATTTCTAATGAAAAGAAATTTTTAGTAAAGATCCTTTGGAGAATATGAAACACTTTTATTTTTATTTTTCCTTTTATCTTTATATAACACATTTGTATATTTTTAGATATTCACCTTTTATTTATTTTTTTTTCCTATTATAATTTCTTGAGATTAGTTTTTTGGAAAAATAATGAATAGTACCAACCCATTAACAATAATGTGTAAATTAGAAGGATTTTTATCTAAAACTTATTCTGGAGTGAATTTATTATTTCCAAGGTCACACTTAAGGATTGAAACTTATTAGAGAATTGAAAGTTGTTAACAAGTAAGTTAAAATAAGATTTAATTTAACCATGATGTACAGTAATTGTTCAATATACTTGTATTGATTTTCTTTAAGATTAATAATACACAATGCTGGTCTGATCACGAGTTTAAAAAAAAAACAATTAATTACCTATATTGTCTAAGGATTTATAGATCAATAAATAATATAAAGAGCTAACTATTTACACCTTACCTAATCAGGATAAGATACTGTAATTATATAACTGTCTAGTATAGATGGACTATTTATAAAAACAAAATATTGAAATAATAGGGAAAATGAAAATCTATTTTTTATTCTACATCTGGCACTCCTTGAAATCTCAATCCTATTATTCTTTATAACAACTCAGGTTTTGATCCATCAAGTGACTTATTGCTATCCCAAAAAGAAAAAACCAATGTGTCAAAAATTTATTTAAAGTATCTATTACCATCAATATTGGGATCTCTCATATGGAACTTTAACCTTTACTAATACTTAATTAAAAAATTTTTAAAAAAGTAATATCTAATACTATTCCTGAAGAGATACTTTGTTATTTTATAAGGCAAAAAATATGTTTTCAAAAAAAAGATAATAGATATTCAAAACTCTCTAAAGAATTCTATTTCATATAATTTTTTCTTCTTATTTTAATATATTGAATAAGAAAAGAAATAATTAAAAAGCTAATATTTTCTATTTAAAATGTTTTAATTTAGCTTTGTTCTTTCCATGTAATTGATGATATTATAGATATTTATAGTGCTGATTAAAAAAAATTGAAATTTATTCTTTTTTACTGCATAATGAGATCACATAGAAACATATAAAACTTCAAATATTTAAAGTTTAAGACTGATATTTTCAATTAAAAAAAAATTTAATAAGTTATATAATTCTGTTACTTTTTATAATTAGCTCACAATGACTAAATAAATTCAATTAGAACAAATTTTTTTTATTTTTTTCCATTTCTTATTCATTTCTCATCCATATACTATCCTATTATTTAGATTTTTTTGCATACATTTTTTTATATTGCCCTTGCCTATACTCTATAAATTTTTAATCAGATTAAAATCAGGGTTATTAGATGACCAGTCTAAAGCATCTGACATATTTTCTATAATAAAGACTATTACCAAGTAACTTGTGAGCTTCAGATCATTATTTTATTGAAAATGCTATTCATTAAAAGTATTCTTTTAATTTTTGAAATACGTTTATTTAGAATTTATACATAAAGCAAAAAAGAAGCAGATCCTTTTACCAGGAAATCCTATAGTCTAGCAGACAAATACATTTCAGCAAACAATGGCTCTACCAACTTTCAGATCAGTCGAAGTAGAGATTCAAGTGGAAGACTGGGATATCACACTAATAAAAAAAGCTATACAAACAGAAGAACACAGAGATGAATTTAAGAGCATCTTGAGATATAACAAAAGGAATATGGCTTATTAGCTTACATTCTATACAGATAGCTCTTAAAAAAAGGAATGACAGATTGTGAAGTTGAAATGGGTTTAACTTGAATTATGATAGAGAAGGACAAAATAGTTAAACAGTTCTCAGCAGGAGCATCCACATGACTATCAACAACTAGGGCTGAAATACTAGCTATTTTTACTGTACTGTATACAGTTCTCCAAAATACAACAGTTACAATTTACACTGATTGTAGTATCACAGTCAAAGTATAGAAATCTATCTACTTACAAATAGAGATATCTATAAGAAGATGGACAAAGATTAATAACTTGCCATTTTGAAATAAGATCAAGAATCTAGTAAAGAAGAAAGACTTAAATCTGAAAATCTTAAAGGTTAAAGCTCACAGAACCAACAGATTCAACAATAAAGTAGATTTACTTGTCAAACAGGCCAGATAGGAGAATCCAATAACTTGACACCAGCTACCAGAGCTAGAAAGAGTCCTCACTATAGCAGCATGAGGAGAATATACAATAGAAATTGATATCAGAAACTTCATTAAAATGTTCAATAAGAAAAAGATTGAACTAGACTGGACAACATAGAAATGAATTCAGGATCTTTGGATCCAAAATAATAAAATTATAGACTAGCCAACCTTTTAAAACCAGTTCAATATGACCAATACCTTCGATATCTCTTTCAAAACCAATAAAGATAAAAGCTTCCTAACTAACTTAATTCACAATAAACTTCCAGTCCTGCAAATACTTAAGAGAAGAAAATCAGATGTATATATCACAACCACTTGTCCAGCATATGAACTTTATGAAGAGATACTAGGATATCTTTTCAAATGCTCAGTCACTAGGAAAACTCAGAAGAACTTATAGCAAAAGGCAAACGAAAAGATCAATAAACTCATTAGTAAAGAAATAAAAGAGAAGAAAGAAGTTCAACCTAAAATAAGTGACTAGACAGACAAATAGTTAGAAGAGATCCAGAAATTTGACAAGGGCCTTTTCAATACTATATGTGGATACATAGAAGAAAGCAAGACCATCTCCTTGAAGAAGTATCTCAAAGAGTAGCTCAAAATTCTATCAAAAAATACACAGAGTATAATTAACAAACTCTATCAGAAGATGAGAGCAAATTTTAAAAAGAAGATCTGGATACTCGCTATGCCAAAGTTATAGAAAGGAAAAAGAAGCATAATATTATAAAAGAGAACAAAAGAAACAAGAGGCTCAAGTCCAGACCTGATAACTAG